AATATGAAAATCCCGAGCTCGCAAGAGGGAGGGGAAGGAACGGTCTCCGCTTCTATAAAAGCGGCCGGGGCCGGCTGGCAACGCTGCGGCGCTGGCGGGAAGATGCGGGGAGACCTAGCCTCTGCAGAGCCGCGAAGGGGAGCGGGCAGCCCCTTCCCGCAGAGGGGAAGGGGGTGAGAGTGTTTGGGGCACACGTGCGCGTTTCTGCCCCTGCGCGGGGGAGCACACCTTGTGCGGGTGTGCGCCCAGAACACGTATTTTCCCCCTTTTATATACCCGTTTGTTTTAACTGCCAGCAACATGATATGCATCTGCATATGCTAGCAATTAAAAACTTAATTGATCGGATATTACCAGGGTCGTCATTCTGGTGCGCTAATGATCGGCGGTCTCTCAGGTCCGCGCGTCTGTCCTTATTACTCCCTTTACCTTTCGTTCTCGCTCCGAAGCGAAGACAAGTTTTTGAACAACGCTTTTAAATCTCGGGGTTTATTTTGTCCTTAAAATAGGATCAGTCAAACATAAACAAACCGAGAATAGCAACAGCGACAACACAGAGTTACTCGAGCAAGCCGCCGAGATTAGAAAAAAAAAAAAATTAAAAAAAACTTCAAAGACTGCAAAGAAAGAAAATGCCCGGGTCTGCTCTGCAGCAGAGAGGGGGTGAGTGGGCAGGGGAGAGGGTGCCCCGCTGCTGTCTCCCAAGTTGCGTGTGAGGAATTTTTCTCCCCTGACAAGAAAATTACCCCTTACGGTGTTACTACAGTGTTATTTTGGGCGGTTACACTTATTTTTACATTTTAGAGAGGTCAAACAGGAGCCCCGTTATCCCGTTACCTCTCCCTTTTTCCTCGCAGCACCGGCGTAAGTCGGAATAAAATCATATCTGAGAGCATCCTCCTGCGACGATGTCCCCTCCCAGACTGTGTGGGTCCCTGGGGGAGCACCGTCGCCACGCGGGAGGCTGCGGAGCCCCGTCCGTCACCCGGACCGGGCGGTACGGTCCTCGGCCTCGCTTCCCCGGAGGACCCCCCCTCGCCCGAGCGGGCCGGCTGCGAGCCGAGCCTGAATGCCCGGACTTCGTCGCTTTCACTGCCTCGGTTAAAAAACTGAACCTAGTTAACAGGTAGGGTCAATTTTCCGTGTTATTGTCCTGTTAATCGTAGCTGTAACCTTAGTCTGATTTCGACGCCGAGATCAGAGAGGCTGCCCCTCTTGACATTCTCCTAATCAAATTCGTCTTTCTGCTTAGTGGGAAATTGAGGTAAATTCTGCAGTAATTTCATTGCCCTGGAAGAAATCTTTAAATGATTGCTCTCTCCTGGACCACACAGGACCACACAAGCACCGCTGGAGGATATTACTGACCACTGCCTTGAATTTTTATTGTTTGAGTTATGTCTACCAATTGAATCTCCCTCTTATTAGCTTACTTCTTTTCTGCCTTTTTTCTCCCCAAGAGGATGGGTAACAGTTTCTTTTCATAATCGCCTTTTACGAAAGAGCTGCCTGATTTTCCGTTCTCGGAAGAAAGAAGGAACATTTTGTGCTCAAAGACTACCTTTTTTGCCCGCAATAAACGCGAGGAATGGATGCGAGCTCCCAGTTACCGGAAAGAAAGGTGACACTTCAAACCGACTTTAATGGGGTTAGAGAAAACAGAGCTTTCAATTAACGCTCAAGTCATCGGTAATTGCTAATTAATACCGCGAAGAAAGATACGAAAAGGAAAATGTGGAGTAGCCGGAGACACTCGCAGCTGTGGAAAGCGATGATTGTGCTGAAGTCTGCAGGGAAAAGGACCGACGGACACCTCCCGTTCCCTCGGAGCCTGGGACGGGCTTGCGCTGGTTTTCCCGGCCAGGGCCGGCTCCCGGGTCAGGGGCGGCGTCGGGCTGCCTCGGGGGTCCCCCCTACCCGTGCCTGTACGGGGAACATAACGGCTGGGGGGCGGGGGGGGCTGGGGGGGCGCCTGCACAACCCCC